ACATTCAGGACACTTGTCCGACTATATACTACATCCTGACAGGTTTTCAGGACATTCTGAAAGTAGAAATAATTTTGGTAATCCTAACTGACCTAAAACAGGAGAGGTTTAGTCTGATTTAATGTCAGACTTTTTTTTTTTAATGGTTTTATGTCTTTTTATACACTGTGTGTAAACTTCTGGTTTCAACTGTATGTGTGGCTTTTATAGTCTATTATTTATAATGGATTCTAGAGTAGTTTTATAGAATAATAGAAAAAAAAAATCCCTTCAGCATGAATGAGGATGCAAAAAAAACTCCTCACGACTTTTAAGAGAAACTGTTTTGCGCTCAGTGAAACTAAAACATTCCCACACATCATAAATTTGTAAATATTTATCAGTTTATTACAGTTAAAAAGATGTATGTACATACAGAACATCACCAAACATGGTCATTTTCACTCATTTGCAAAGTAGCACTCTGCAACTAGTTGGTTTCAGGATAACTGTCTTACAATGGGGCGGCTTTGATTAAGTTTGTCATTTACAACCAAGCACATAAATCTGTGTATTTTTCCTCTTTCTCCATTTGCCAAATAATGCTTAGTAAAGGCATATATTCATTTAAAAAAAACAAAAACAAAACAAAAAAAAACAAAACGGAGGGTGCTTAGTAAAACAAAACTGTTGCTGAATTGCTGGTCCAAATCCAAGTTCCTGCTGCCAACACACGGCTTAACACAGGTAGAAACACCTCAGACTGGATCTTGGTCACTGTGGTTAGCAATGAAGACTCACATAGAGGTAGTCATGTCTGCATCTGCTCGTCCAGTCAAGAGACAACTGACCCAAAAACTTTATCCAAGGACCCCCGATCCCTTTACTGACAATAAAGAAAGAAATAAAGAAAAACATGATTATCTGTCTCTGTTGATGAACTCAAACGGTCATAAAGGTTTTGCTTGGTGCGCATAAGGCAGTCAAGTAAATGTATGGAGATACTATAGAGGGCTGTGCGAGTGGGTGGGATTTGGATGCAGTGGGAAAGAGCGGGCAACTTCACATTAAAGGGCCATTCCGCAAAAACTGACTTGAGTTTAGTTACAGAAAGTGGACATTTATGAAGTTATGTGCTCTCATGATGAATCTGGATATATATATGTTTGTTTGTTTTTTAAATGTCAGACTAGCAAAGTCATTTTTCCCCCCCTAATGTTGCATTTGTGACCCAAATCTGCAATGCCATGTGAGGATAACATATAAAAAAATAAACTCTTTCTAGTGAAAAAGCTTAATAACAAATGCAAGTCAGTGTTGGCGGAATTTCCCTTTAATGCCAAAGACAAGCGAGACGTAAGCTAATGCACATCCACTTGGTAGCATAATGGCATTATCTTCCATTGCACTCTTTTATCTTCTTGTAAAACTCTCATCATCACATTACAGATTTTTGTAATACTGAGTCTACCGTAACGTCAGATTACTGTACAGAGTAAAAGGAAAAAATAAGACAGAAGAAACTAGACCCAAATTTACATCGTAACGACCAGTTGCTTGTCATCAAGTACAGTCAGTGGCCATAGACACAAGGAATAGCCAAACGAACACATAAAAAAGACCATTAAGGCTGCTTGTCAATGTAGATTAAGTAGGAGAAGCATTGCCACACAATGCTTCGACACCCTTTGCAATATACAAAAAGGGAGCATTTGCAGGTACACCAAATAGCCACTAAATCGAAGTCTTCTATGCAAAAAACGCCCGATTCTGACCCAGACAAATCATGTCAAATATGTGTTCAACATGCTTGTTTCCTGTACAAAATAACCAGGCAAGAGAATGACAAGTTGTATGATCCAGGAAGGAGGGAAAAAAAAAAAAAAAGCAAAAATGACTTTGATTCCGCGATGCTCTCCATGGCCTAAAATCACAGACGATAGAAAAATAAACACAAATACTCCAATTATTTTGGATGCCCCAGTACGCGATACATCGTCATCACTTTGATCCGGCGACAGCTCCACACCTCCAACTGAACCAGTCGGTGGTGTCCATCTCCCCCCTACCCTCCCCCACCCCCCTATCATCAGCACGTTAAAACTACATTCCACGATCTGATAAATGCTCTCAGCCCAGTTCAGTTTCCGCCTCACCTCCCATCATCCTCCCGTGTCTTCATACACTGGCATTCTCACCCTTTGCAAAAAAAAAAATAAAAAAATGGCACATGAAAAAAGTAAGAACAGAGAGACTGAATGTAAAAATGGGTCACAGCACTCACGCTGCATACCTAATGCACATCTCACTTTTTGAGTACTCGAAGGCATTTTTCACACAATTGTTTACAGCTAAAAGTAAATACACAAAAACAAAAACAAAAAAAAGAAACTTCCAAAGCTTTTATATAAAACCCAGGAATGCAATGCCTCCGGTGTGTTGTTGAGCGTGAACACAGAAAGCCCTTTTTACAATTTTTTTTGTCTTTTTCCGACAGTCTTGTACTGTAACTGCGTTAAGCTCAAATATGCACCTTGTTGTGTTGTCTCATCGTTGTTGTCCAAACGATTTGATCTGTGTGAAAACCACCGGGCCTGACGCTAAAATCGAAAAGGTCAGTGGATTTGTCCCTCGTCAGGTTTTCGAGTGAAGTCTGTATCAGTGTTGGGAAGTGGATCGCTTCCCGCCTCCTTGCCCCCCCCCCCGCCCCCCTACCCGGCTCCCCTCCGTCTTGAACAGCATATGTTTAAGTCCATGAAAAGCAGCAACAGGTTCTGCTGGTAAATTAGAAGCAGCGTTTCATTGTTTTTTCTTTGTCCCCCCAAAAAAACCCCAAACCCGAGGTGAGCTGTGGCGCTCTCGTCGCTCAGGCCTCCGGTGGAAGAAGGCCGGACCACAGCCCACTTAAAAAACACACCAAGCTGCTGCAAAGAAAGTAGACCCACACATTTCAATACAAAAACAGAATCGTGATTGAATATAGAATCGGGATGCAAAACATTTTCAAAAAGAAGAAGGAAAAATAAAAAATAAAATAAAAAGTTTGGTTTTGATTACCTTTTGTTGGGATTTTTAATGTACAGTCACTTGAAATAATACTAACTGAATACACATCTCATCATTTAGAAAAAAAAAAAACACTCAAATGTAAATTGATTTCAAATAAACAACGCTCATCTGAACTGCAATAAGCCACTTTGTTTGCAATCAAGAGAGCAGGATATGGGAATTTTTTTTTAAATGTCTCATACCCACAGAGACCCTTTTACAGTTCAAGCTCCTTTTAAGATTGACAGGATAAAAGTTACTCGTTTATTCTGAGCCCGCAAAAAACTCAACATTTATATTTAATTGATACAAATTTACATGATAAACCGTTCAAAAATAAAATACTTATGAAACAAAGTGCCCCCATTCAAAATAACCAATGAGAGGCAAATGTGTTTTTGTCTATATGATGCCAATGTCTTTAAAAAAAAAAAAGTGCATAAGAGCAGCAGCATTGCTGGGACAGTGTGGGACAAAAGAAGATATCTTAAAAAAAAATTAAATTACAAATCAATATAAATCAAGGGAATATTTTCTGTTAAGCAATCAAGACCCTGTCAAAAATAATAATAAAAAAAAAGACTACAGAAAAAAATCAAAGATATTAACAAAAAAAAGGAAGTGTCAAGAAGGAGTTACCTGTCAATGTTTTATTATCAAATCTTTTTTTTGAAGCTCTGATACACTCACCACTTGCTCCAGAAACGTCTTTTTAAAAACGCTTGATATGTTGGTCGATGATCAACTGGATGACAGCTATGCAGCCCAACACTGAAGATAATATCAAACAAGTAAACATAACTAAAAAAAATTGCACTCAAGGCAACAACCAGGATTTGTATACATATATAAAAACATCTATCATTTATCCCATCACCTATGTATGTTTGACTTGTTTTTTTTTTTTCAATACCTTTTTTGTCGCACGAAATCAATAATAGACGGGGTGGGGTGGGGGGGTCACATCGCCGCCCGTTTTGGAGAAAAGTCCGAGTTGCTTTGTTTTTCAAGCACGTATGATTGGCATTTCTCATATGTATACATTACTAGCTTAATGTGTAACAACCACTGCTGCTATTTGTCAAAAAAGATCTCCAATCATCCTATTTTACAACTGATATCACTTACTCTGACAGATTAATGCAACAGGAACACTAAAAAAAAAAAAAGAAAGAAAGAAAAAAATGAAAAACAAAAGTAAAAACAGCAGTAATAAAAAAAAAAATTATTGAAATAATTTATATCTTTGTATTCTCATGGACAATTGTGTTTAGAAATGAACCACCGGGTCACTCTAAACATAGGCACAGTTTTTAAAAAAAAAACATATAATGTAAAAAAAAAGAAAAGAAAGAAAGAAGTTGTAAGCACACCATCATTAGACCTTTGTTCTATGGTCAAGCAATTAACATAAGTTCTGTTGAGAGAAGATGATGTTAAAAAAAACAAAAAAAAAAGGAAGAGAAAAAGGAAATATCAAAAGAAAGTATAACAAGATGACAAAGTTAAAATTACGGCAGCAGCAGTAAATGAGAAGTTCCAAAGACTTTTTTTTGTTTGTTTTTGCATACAATTGTATCCTTGCTCACATAATAGATGCTTGTAATTACTGTAAATACATTGGCAATGGGAGCACGGTTTATATGGTTTAAAGACTTGCCACTTAGCTCACAGTTACTCAATATATATAACTTTATATATCTTCAGTTTTGGCAAATAGATGGAAATATTTTCCTCTTGTATGAGTCGGAATGAAAGATGAGTGGGGGGGAGGGGGGGTGGTGGTGTTGTGGTGGCTGGGGTCCTAAAATGACCGTGATAAACTCTGGACCAACACAGAAGTCAAGTCTCCAAAGATTCGCCTTGTTTCTGCCCAAAGGATGGTGAAAGAAACATTTTCCTCATCAGCCTCCTCCTTGTATTTGCCCCCGACACTGATTGTGGCGAGTCTGTTTTCTTTACAGCGTATGATACACGTAAATGGGGGCGGGCAGGCGAAAGGGTGCAGAGCAAGTGGAGGGTTTGGAGTTAAGCAGGACTGGCATTTGAGCTGCTCTTGCTCAGACCATGGCACGGTATGGTCCCTGCATCTTGAGGAACTGGATGATGAAGGAGGGGCCTCCCGCGACAATCTGGGGCGGCAGGTGGGTGAGGGGACAGTTCTCGATGCTCATGATGGACAGCTTGCTGCAGAGGGCCAGCTCGAACGGGAGGCTGTGCAGGTTGGGGTTGTCGTTGAGGTACAGTTCCTCCAGGTTCTCCAGTGTGCCTACGAACAGACGGTAGTTTAATTGTACATCATCGTCCATGGAACAAGGTCCGTAATCTACGGCCTCTGAGCAATACATGTCAATAAAATAGGAGTAAAAGTGCACCTCATCACTTTAAAGCACCAACTCCTTGATCCAGTTTTGTGTTTTAATGAGCCCATGTGCTTTCTTTTAGTGTGTTATATAGTTCTTAGTTAGCAGATATTTATATGTACATTTTTTATTTTTTGTTTTTTCCTGTGTCGTATCTGTGTACGTCTGTTGAAAGCTGCTGTCAACGATGTGAATTTCTCCACCGTGAGATTAATAAAGGCATATCTTATTTTAATTACTTAGACGGCAAAGAGACCTCTCAGCAGAAAACACTGTTTCTTATGAGCCTGAAACACCTAGTTTGATGCCTCGGTTCTTCTTCTATTACTTATTTACCCTGTAATCCTCAGAGTTTCAGTAAAAATCAGCTGGACTTGGTCGCCCTCAGCTTACATGGCTCACAGCCCTTTACAAGGCATGACTATCTGAAACTCATTCAGTTAGAACTGAGAAGCCTCTTGAATAAGAGGTTACACTTCAAGAACCTAAAAGACAGGTCTAGTTGTTATTTACTGAAGCTTTTAACATTACAATGACCTGTATAACTGATAATCTATGTCACCACATTTGCAGTCCTGCCTAGCATTTAGTTCAACATGCCAACAAAACAACAAGCGGATTTTTGCAGTTAACCAGTATTTACTAACTAAAGCTGCTTCTGCATGAGCTCCACCCTTCTGCCTACACTTATAGATTGAGTGTTATGTTATTCTTGATTTATTACAAAAGTCTATGAAATGTCAAATGAGTCATTAGTCCAAAACCCAAAGTTATTCAGTTTACTACTGTAAGAAACAATGACAGTCCATCAATCCCAACTCACAGGATGTTTGTCATATTTACCTGAATAATGACTCAAACAGTAACTATTTGAAAAAGATGTGACAAACTGCCTCGGTCCTGCAAGGTTACAGGCTCATCTGAGATTTTCTTTACACCGATTTAAAATATTACATATGCAGCAATAACACATTTATTTTTCTACTCTTACACAAAACACGTATTGAGATGTTGTTTCAAGTGGAAACCTAAATACCTCCAAACCACAGATATAACTTCATTCTTCGCCCAGTTGGAATACTCTAAAAATACATTCACCTTTGGCCTCTTCCCCACCCATCATAATCTCTGGCTTAACTCTGAACCTAAGCAGTAACTAATATATCTGGGTTGGACCAATTACTGAGAGGAAGGCTCAGAGGTGAGATATACTGTGAACTTTTAAGCTCATAAAACCAGATGATTAAGCTTAGCTTTTATGAGAAAATAATGCTAAAAACGTATTTGTTGTGTTGTTGAAGGCTTGTTGTTTTTAGCACAGATGGATAACAAACGATGGCACTTATTGAATACTGGCAGTCCACTTGTGTGCTTTGCTGAAAGACTAGAATTAATATATAGTCACAAACACATCAAAAGTTGTTACCTGTTGCACTTCACCCAAAACCTGGATCTCCCATATGAGAGGATTGTGGAGTTTAGTTCAGGGGTATACAGTGTTTAAAGTATCAATCAGTTCTGAAAGACTTATATGCCAAGAATAAACAGCAATTTCCCTTTTCCCTGCTGTCAATGAAATATGCCTGGTTCAAGTCTGGATCCACACCATCACAAAAAGAAAAAGTAGTATGCTGGTGTGTCAGATAGTGAGTAGTAATTCAACACTTTCACGCCCTGAACATGTTATCGATATATTTGGGGGTATGAGGAAGGTACTTACCAATCTCCTCAGGAAGGTGTTGCAGCAGGTTCTCCCCCAAACCAAGATGAGTCAGGTTGGTGAGGTGGCCGATACCTCTGGGTAACGTAGTCAGCTGATTATTTGTCAACACCAATTTCTATCATGAAAGCAGAGCAAGTTTTTGATTAAACAATTATATCCTTAAATAATAAACTAACTGCAAAATGCAAGACCTTGCAAATCAGGATTCAGTATTACAGACAGGCTTAGGAATCAAGTGTTCATCTGCAAAATAAATTTGCAGTTCATTGACAGTCCAAGTATGAGCACTGCAGAATAATTAATTACATTTACTCTAACCCTATCCTGCCGTGTAAACGGCTAGACAGAATGACGTATTGAACATACTATGAAAATATCCCTCTATGTGTTAAACAACATAAGCATTTAACATCAAACCACACAGTGAATTCAGAAGATATTCAGACCACTGTGCTCTCTGCACACTTTGTGTTGTAGATTTAATTCTAAGTGGATGAAAGATTTAAAGACCCTTAACCGAGTACTCTGTAGAAGCCCCTTTGGTAATAAATAGCAAGACTTCCAGGTATGAAGTCTTCCTGAGTAAATCCCCACAAGCTTTGCACACTTGGATTTGGACAGTTTTATCCAAATCCAGATCATCTTAAGCTTCGTCAGATTGGATGGAAGACACCTGTGAACTGCCATCTTTACGCCTCTCGCAGATGTTCTGTCTGGGTTTAAGTCTTAGCTATGGATGGACCGCTCAAGGGCATCTAGAGACTCGTCTTGAATCCATTCCAGAAACACTACCACAGCCTGATGCTGCCACCGCCATGCGTTATCTCAAGGACAGTATTAGCCAGGTGATGAGAAGTGCCTGGTGTTTTCCCCTGACATACTAATTGTTGAGTGTTTCTGAGATGATCATTGTTTCTCAAGGTTTACCAATCTCTGCAGTGAACTTCTGACGCTCTTTCAGAGATTACTGGCTATTAGAAGAGTCCTGATCGTTCCAAACGTCTCCTCATTTTACGATTACTAAGCCCACTGTGGTCCTCGGAACACTGAAAGATTAGGAAATGGTTTTTTACCCTTGTCTTGAGCTATGCCTCGCCAATTCGTTAATTTTATTTGAAAGTCCACAGAGAGTACTTGGCTTTAAGGGTTGCCACTCTTAAGTTATACCCCAGGCCTTCATTAGTGACATAAGTCTGATATGTCAGATGGGCATCACGCCTGTCATCTATAGAAAGCCTCCTTTAAAACATGCAGTACTGTGCAAACATTTTAGGCAGTTCAGGTATTTGCATTTTTATCTTTTATGCAATGCAATATGACCATTCCCAAATTCCTTCTGCAGCATGACAACAAGTCATAAAAGACTATGTTCAGTGACAAGGACAACAAGGGGTCCTGCAACAGATGGCATGAACCCACACAGACTGGGCAACATGCAAAGTACCTTAAAAACCGTAAATCCAGGAGAACTTTTGCCGTTTCTGTGGCAAGAAGTGATCAAATATTAGTTTGATATATGTTTTTCTTTCTGCTTCACTTTGTTCAGTGAAGGTGGGTGATAAATAAAGCCACAGCAACAACAAAATAAACTGTGATGAATGCAAAGGGGTCTGAATCCACAGTATGCCACAGTTTTTTCCATTTCCTCCAACTGTGGAGACCAACTGTGGATGATTACCTAATAAGCAGACAGCATGTCCAGTAATCTGTTCCTTAAAACCACAATTATTTGTAAATAGTGAAGGATTAGACTCTCAGTGTTTTTAGTTTGTTGTAATAAAAAGATATCAGTCTGATTAACTTTCCATCCTGTAAACCGTCTTCCTGATTTTTGTGATTCGCGCTCTAATTGCTTCTAATTCTTGCACCTGGGTGCAAGTATAAATTCATATAAAACACATGAAAAGCAAACCTCCACTTTTATTTAAAATCAAGTACAACAGAGAAAACCACTACTGACCTGTAATTCTTTAAGATAAGCGATTTCATTAGGTAGACATTCCAACTTGTTTTCTTCCAAGTCGAGCTCTCGTAACTTTCTCAAATTCCCAATACCATGCGGTAACTTCTTGAGAAGATTATTGGACAATATTAACACCTGTGAAGACGATGGCATTTGTAAAATAGGGAGCAGCTCTTATGTGACAGGCATTAGGAAATACAACATTATAAACTGATTTACAGAAATGAAGCAATCCCTCTCAACACAGAAGTATATTCTATTAAGTTAATGTCACGCAATTGATTAAATCACAGAAAGGGAAGAAATAGGTGCAGATGTACACATGGCATGTTATATATGTTTTACATAAATTCGGCACAGATACAAAATGTGTTGAGCTTCTCTAGCCTCAAAAATGTCAAAGATAGCTGGTGCAACACATTCCCAATTTACTACAAACTATTCAAGACTGCAGTGGTAAACTAATATCTTACTGCTTGTGTGTATATGGAAGACTCACCTCTAGAGAGACGAGACCACACACATCCTCTGGGATCTTAGTCAGCTGATTGGTGGCCAGGTTAAGTTCAACCATGCTAGTCCATGTGCCAAAATCCAATGGCAGGGATGTTAACTGGTTGTCCTGAGGAAGACAATGGCATACCTTTATTAGCTATATAACTACCAATTCAGTGGATCAACACAAGTGCAGCACTGTCCCAGAGACTGAACAGACCAGCAGTGCATGGCAGATATGTTACCTGGCGCCTGGATAATATATTTTTAAGGGGCACGCAATACACAAGTAAAGGATTTTTAATAAATATCTGTACATGGTGGACTAAGCATAAATAAATGTGCAGTTCAGAGACCCTTCATTCTGAACAAAGATTCAGAAAAATATGACTAAACAGGCATTTTTTGTGCATTTCTATTCTGCAATGTAGAACTAAAATGTCACAACTGGCATTTAACACACACACACCCCACAAACACAAAGAAACTTTAGACACGCCTTCAAGAGTAGCGGCTCTACGTACAACCTAACTTTTTTCCAAACAGTAAAAGTTGAATCATTGGACCATGTTTATTTCCATGTTGGCACCTCTAACTCAGTGATCATAAAATGAACATATGATCTGTTTCAGACATAGAACTTCTATAGTTCTGAGTGTGAGTGCACAACTTTCGATACAGTGCAGCTTATGTGTGACAGAAAGTTCCTGTTCAATACCATATGTCCCCCTAGCCTTTTTACACTGAATATATTTTGACATGTCACAGTGGGAAACATATAGATTGAATAATGACGTTGGAATTCCATTTAGCTGCTCCAGTTTCAGTCTCCTGGCATTGCACATGCTGGCTCACTGTCACAGCTTACTGAAAAACTTTTACAGAACACAGCCATTGGTAATGTTATTAGTAACATGTCCTGTACTTTTCTTTCTAAGACATGTCAAAAAAGGCTTATTATTCTATGGTTTTACTATTTTGTAAGGCTGCGATAACATCTGACTTTGGCAAAAAAAAAAAAAAAAAAACTATACAGAAAGCAAAACTGAGAGGGTATTTACTATCAATTATTTCTACATTGTTTAGACATTCGAAAGTTGATTTAAAAAATGACCACACCAGTTTTTCAGACAAACATGCATATATATAAATATATATACCTTCATGTTAAGCTTGCTTAACACTTTGGCCCTGGAGAAGATACCAAAGGGGATCTTGTTGATACGGTTGTGCTCCATGTTGAGGGAGTAAATGGTGGAGAACTGGGATGGCCCACCCACAGGGTACGACTGGAAGCAGTTCCTTGCCAGTGTTAAACTTGTCAGGTTTACCAAACTTGACAGCAGGCCCTGACAAAGCACAGAAACAGACATGGCAGAATTCATAGGATCCAGACAGGCCTCTGTTACTATGGGCAGTTACACTCAATGCGCTAGTGGACACTAGATATTGGAGCCACAATTACCATCTATTTTGATAGTTTAAGAATCTGTTGATTATTGAAACGAATATTCAAATCATAAACACTTCGGCGCAATCACTCACAGTGGTTCATTTAGCTGTATAAATGTATCTTGATGTTGCTTTTACCCTGTGTTAACTAACAAGAAGTGCACATTTATGATATATAGTGTATGTGTGTTTTTATGATTGACAGGAATTGCTGCTACAACACCGTAACTGCAAGCTTCAGTTGAATGAATGAATGAAATTAAATTAAATGAAAAATATTTTATTTATCCCAGAAGGGAAATTCAATAGTTCAGATGGTCATCAAGTTCTCCTGTGCTCAGATCACTGGTGAACATTGTGTTAATGTCCCAAGACTGTGAGAATCTGGTGGTTTATGGTTTTATAATAAATATATTGGGTGGCGACTCACAACAGGTAGTGACACACTTCAACCCTGATAGCGGTACTGCCTTCGTGTCAGAGCATGCTTAGTATGTGTGAAAAACACATGATGACATCACCAACTAACTGGATTTCTAATTGTTGACAGTTAAGTTAGTTGTTGGTTTTTGTCGACTATGTCCATTATCATCATCATCATCATCATATCATTGCACCCCTACCAGACAGGAAGTTAAGAGCATAAGCTATATCTGTGACAATCCAGAGGTGTTTAAAATTAATTCACAGATTTTGGTACATTCCTTGGTGTTCGAATATCATAAGAACAATGATTACAGTAACAATTTGTGGCTCAGGTGTTCAGGATGAACACATCAATTTAAAAAATAAAACAATTGTTCCTTGTATACATTTAACAGCACTGGTACCAAAGAATCTAGGCTCCAAAATAACATTGGTGTTGGAAATTATGCATTTTAACAAATATTTATTAATTCTGAGCTTTGCTTACCTCTGGCAACACTGAAATGTTGTTGTTTTCAAGGTTTAGCTCCTCCAGTTCTCGACATTTGGCTAATGATCTGGGGATGGCTGACAATCTATTGTATCTCAGACCTAAGCGATTTATGCTTGCCAGATTACCTGAAACAACAACAGCAAAAATAATAGGTTTTACAAATTAAACATAAAATGAACCACAAAAACACGCATTAAGAAAGACACAGATTGAAGACAACTTGACTCTGACTCCGAAAATATATTAAAATGATTACCTATAGTCTCTGGGAGGTCCAAGAGCTCATTGTGCTGCAGGTCGAGGTTGGTTATCTGTGTGCAATTTCCAATCTCCTTCGGTAGGTGTTCCAACTGATTATGGGCAACATCCAGAGTAATGAGGTTGCATAGCTCCCCTGCAGAAAGATGTACAGCAAAATCAGATATTACTTAATTCAAGATGAAAGTGCTTTTCTTAATATAATTTGATCTCACTGAAGAGGAGCCAAGCTATTTGTCCAAATATCCTTATACAGAATTAGAATACTGATTACTTAGTGACAAAACACAATTTTCCTATTTGCAAAACCAAGTTTACAGACATGACTCTTCTAGTAGAATTAGTGCACAGGACACAATGGCGAACATCACGAGTGTTTATGGTATGCGCTTTTCAACAACAGGATTTGTAGCATTGCAGGAGTTGAAGAAGGCTGTGTAACCAGTGACCATTAGCGCTAGGATGCTGCATAACATACACAAAATAATATGGGATGGAAATCAACAACAGCTAAACCCAATGGTAACCCAAAGCCTCCTGCACTTATTTAATTACTTACAGCCACCATCAAAAAGGTTTGCTTTTTATTCTTTGGTGTAGGTTTTACTCACCTATCTCTGCGGGTAGCTGTTTAATCTTGTTCTCACGGATGCTGAGCATGGTGAGCTTGGATAGGTTTCTGATGTCTTTCTCCACTGTTGTGATGCGATTGAAGCGCAGGTACAGCGTGGTCAGAGATGTCAGGCGATAGACGACAGCTGGTATCTCTCTCAGCTTGTTATGCCGGAGGTCGAGCATTCGAAGCTTCTTCAGGGAGTCAAGGGAGTCGGGCAAACTGGTCAGGGAGTTCTCGCTGAGGGCCAAAGTGACCAGGCCTGATAGGCAACCCACCTCAGCCGGCAGACTCTGCAGCTTGTTGCTGTATAAGTAGAGTTCAGCCAGCTGCGTCAACTCCTTAATAGAGGTGGGCAGCATGTGAATGGACCGTTTAGATAGGTCCAGTCTCATCGAGTTCTCCTCCCGACACTTGTTAAGCTCTTTGATCACCTCCGCATTACTGGACTTCTTGCGTGTACCTGGTGCCGGGTTTGGCCGCTTTATCGTATTGTCAACAGAGAAGGCAACACCTGGTGTTGAGCTGCTGGTGTCCTTCTTTCCTTCTTTGGCATCTTTCCCTTTGGTCTTCGTTTCTTTGCCTCCATCCTTAACTAAACTGGCCAAAGCCTTGGCCTCCTTTTCCCTTTCTTTACCCGCTGGACCACCTTTGGGGTCCTTTTCTTTCGAATCTTTTTCTTTGCCTAAAGTACTACTCATGTCGACGTTATCGGGCCTCCTGCAGAGTTGCTCATGGGAGTCTCTCTTGTCAGGTTATTTATTCAGAAAAAAAGGAACATAGACAGCCAACGAGGCTTGTAAAGAAAACATCCCCATGCAGGCCCACAAAACTATGATTATCCTTAAAATAAAGGCCTTGTGATCCAAAGGTTTTTGGATACTAATGATACTTTGTTCCTTTGCTAAAATCCCATTGGAGAAAAAATCCTTTGAAGTAGCTGGATCGTAGCATCCATGGGCCACATGCTTAAGTGTCTCAACTGCATACAATCCCAACACCTTCGGACAGAGGTTCTTTCAAGCTGCAAGGTTTTCCAGGATTTTTTCATTCCCTGAAATATTTGCTGTTGGGGGGGAAAAAAAGACATTTTGTTGAAATTTCCAATTCCATTTTCACACTTTACATTCTTAGCATTTTGTATTTCAACAATTGAGTGGTCCTGCCTAAAGCACATTCAGATCGTAATATCTCTCATTTATTGCTATAATTACTTACAACTGTTATCCGACAGTTTTTACAAAACAAACTGCTCTGTACTGAAAGTGATACAACTAATGCTAATCTAGATGTTCTGTACCTGTGCAATTAAAACTTGGTTCCTACTAAAAGAAGACACCCCTCATCACTATTTACAAAAAACTTTTACTCTTCTAGCAATGAGCACAGGTCAGAATAAGTTTCCACTGTTAGAAAAGTAAGGAGAACAACATGTAAATAAGATCACTAAGCAGCAATAGATTGCCTCAAGTAAACACTGATCATTTTCCAGATCCTTTCTTTACAACTTTATTTAGAAACTGATGTTTTTATTTCAAGTCCAGTGCCTGTCATACTCTGACCAACCTGTCCAATAATGCAACTGGAAAAAAATGTGGCACTTCTATGTTCACCAACTCTCATGATTTTTTTTTAAGTGACAGTGGTGTGATTTGATGTGGTTATACTAAGCTTTTGACCACACAGAAACATTTTTACAGATTGCCAGTCTTAAGCCTGGTCTTAAAGTTCTGAAACTTGTGCCCCTGTTATTTAACTGGCACCTATACAGCCTAGATTTGTCACTGCCAAAAATGTTTGGTAAATTAAGTGATTTCCAGGGATTCATTCTCTACCATTATCACAACAAGGGACTGTACAAGCCCATCCACAATATCTGAACTGATCCAAGCATGTTTTGATGGAACAGTACGCTCTATTAAAAAACCCATTGCACATGTTGATAAAATGAAATCAAACAGAAATAAGTGGTTTCAAAAAGTAATACGAAAGACTGACTCGGTTTTCCCACTATTAAGCCTGCAGTGGAGGTAGTCACAGAGCGTCTGTGCGTCACTGGGGAATTTAAAAATCTCTGAAGGAATGGTTAGCAGCTAACCTACAGGAAACAAGACGCCACCATTAAAAAGTCTACGGATTGCGGAGAAAGTGAGGTCCACAAGCTCCATACCCTTCTAGCCCAAGGTATTCGCATTTCCGATGCATATAGTATGTGTCACACTGGCATGCTAAATAAAATCACACACTGGAGAAGCTGGCTTTGTTTGGTTCAGTGCAAACAAGCAAAGCCAGCATAATGAGGGGTCTTCTTAAGGGCAGCATAGTAGGATCTCTGTTTAAAGCGGGCTTATGCCTTCCTGCCTAACCAAATCCAAGCTTACCCTCGTCTCTCAACAGATATTGTGCATAATACTGCAGGATATAACACTAAATAATGCAATTATATTTAAACAGACTATCATTTAAACAGATACTAAGGTAGTTCATTCATTGGTTAAGTGTGCAACGTAACATGTACTGTGTAGAAACAAAACGACAATATTCATCCTTATCCATAAGCCGAAAAAACTTCAACAGGTTATGATGGCTTGTCAGTACCATGAGATATGCTGTATTAGGTGTGCTTTGCCAGAGCAAGAAAATCTTTTCAATATACGAAGCATAAACTCACACCAACTTACTCCTACTAAACAAACATGGCCCAGCAGTGTTGACATTATTGTAAGCCTAACGCCCCACTTGAGCATTAAATCAGCCAGTTAGCCATCTCTTACAAAAGCTGTAACACAACAATCATATTGAATACTTATATATCAAAGAAACCCAGACCAAACACCCATTCCTTTGGATCTTTACATGACAAACTGAGCCACTGTGTCTCTGGCGGCCTGTCTCTGTTTAGTCTCTGTTGCTGTTGTACCTCGATGACTGTGTAAAGCTCTCAAGCACTAGTACAAGCTAAGCTGTGGCAAAAAGAGAGGCGGGTTTGGCTCAGGATCAGAGCTAAGTGAAAAGGTTACGACTGCTGAGAGTAATCTTTAGAAGTGGCCTTCAAAGCATGAAGTCCCCACAACAACAGGTCATATGACCTTTTGGGTAAAAGAAATGTTCGGTCAATAGCAGCACCCCTTGCATGATAGAATGGCTTACAGTGTGTTGTGTAAATAATAAAAAGGTATCCATTGCTCTTTTAGCCTGTCATAAATAAGAAGACGGACATCTATCGCTGCCTGTAATAGGAATACATGTGTACTTAATAATTATTAACATAAAATGAGAATAGCCAGGCCAAGCCAACTGCTGGGGCCACATAAACTAAACTGAGCAAGCAGCTTCCTTTTATGGTTATAATCTCTGTCCTGTCCTGGGACATCATTCTGGTTATAACAAACGTCACGTAAACATTATCTGTATAGATTTATTTCTGCATACACTAATGTTTTTTTCTTGGACATGATGAAACTGAGCATGTTCATTTTGTAGGGAATTCTACATTTTTTTAATGACATTCATGATTACCATGTCAATACACCTGATTTTGGCAAAGAAATTAAACGTCGATCATGCAGGAACCCTTCATCAACCTCTAGTTGTAAAAAAAAAAATTAACCAAGTAACCAACATTAACCAAAGCAAAGCAGAGCAGACATACTCTTGGTTGGTTAGTGCACTCAAGTGCTGCATATTCTCAATAGGGAACTATTCTAAGCTGTCTACCTTTAAGTACAAAATAAATAAAATCAAAACTATTATTTAAGGAAAGGTCAGCAGATTCATAATTAAATCAAATCAACCATTAATGTCAGTGCAATTCAGCTTTAAAAATTGCCAAAAATAATGCCACCTTTCTTTTTTTTGCCAGCACTGATGACACAGCCATCTTGTTTGAAAAAACTTTATTGGAAGCATCACTGGACAAAAGTGACTGGAGGTTTGATTTATGCTAAGTGTGAGCACCACATGGAGGCCATTTGACGGACTTCTACAGTGTAAGCACAGAAGCCGCAGATTCTGGCCACATAGAAAGGCTGAACCCAAACTTAACCTGTGCAGTGAATTAACACATTGTTTTTGCTTAATAAATCTCAGAAAGTGTCTGCTTAGCTTTCAAGGCTAATCCTGCTAGCCTGCTAAAGGACACTGCCAAAACTTTCTTGAGGTTGGGGCTCGCAGTTTTACAATTTTTGTTCCAAGAGTGCACGTATGTAAGACTTCTGACAGTCACTGTTTCGCTCATGGGCATATCAACCAAGGATATTTCATACCAAGCATAGACTTGCTCACTGGATATAAAACTACCATTTCCAATTGGCATTTTACATAGCATTTCCCTCTCTTTCTGCTATGCATGTTGCACTTTTTAAAATCCATTTTGTTGTAAGAAACAACCTCTGAGCTAGAACACTGCTGAAAATGGTAAGTTTTGGATCAATAAGCCATAAAGCAGGGGTATCATCACTGCATCCTGGGCTTAGCACTGCCTAAGACGTCTGTGATTGGTTTAAAGAAAAACAAACAAGCCAACAAGGACGTTTTTTCCCCTGTAATAGAATGATAATAAAGTGTAGCCAGACCATTTTCCAGTGCTGACACTCGCAATGGGGATAGGTCTGGCTACGTGAGACTATATCCAGCCTCACATCATGTACTGAACAATTCAGAACAAATACACAAACTGTTACACCTGTTTTGCACAGTGATGACAATGAAGATGCAAAATCCAACAGTGATAAAGCACTTTCAAATACTAATGACTGGCAATAGCAGCACCAAAGGATGAATGCAGGGACACACCATTGGTAATTCCTTCACTGTGTGCCTGTTTCAGTGACATTTGTAAACTGCTGTTACTCGAAAAGTTTTCCATGCAAAAAAAGAAAGACTCAACAAATCCACACGTACATACATGCCTCCTAACAAATATATTGAATAAGGCGATAGGATATTACATTAAATATTACAAATATTTTGAAATAAACTATATTTCAAACTCAAATTAAGGTGGGTGTTTAGGGGCTCAAGTGTGCAATATAAGCAGCGTGATCTAGGAAAAAGTAACTACTTTCTTAAAAAAGGGAGTCCTAATACCTTGACAATTTTCTTTCTTAGACATGAACCAAAAGAAAACAAAAACGCACTTAAACAGGTTTGGTGAGTTGTCAGTGTCATAGTACTGTCAATACTCATGGTATTGAGTGTGCTTTGTCAGACCAAGAAAATCTGTTTAATGTACTAAGCATAACCTTACGCCAACTTACTGCTGCTAAACAAACATGACCCAGCGGGTGTTGACATTACTGTAAGCCTACAGCCCCACCTAAGCATGCATTCAGCACGTTAGCCATCCCCCTACAAAATCTGTAACACAACCAGTATAACAAATACTCATGTATGAATCGATAGCCTATACCCAGGATAAGAGAGGAGATGATCTGAAATTTTAGTAACCCATTAGCTGTGCATAAAATAATGGACTCACTTGGTGGCCACACAATTAAAGGTTTCTTGATCAGAAAACTGCATTATTGAGGCAGATGCTCGGTGTCTGTTCACAGCTTTTACATTTCCCTTCACAGGCGTCTATCATACTGTTGTGTGGATTTGTGTGAGTGTGGGAGGGTCATTTTAAAGGCGTACTTGAGGTGTTTTTTTTGGCCAAAGATACTGAAGAACATGATCGTACAGTGACAAAATTTGCAAGCAGTCAGAAAGTTACATTTAGTTAGAACTACTCATCTGGTCGAGGTAAATATGACACTCAACTCATATGCAGTTTCACAGAAAAAGCTAATTTCTGTCCATCAACACTACCACAACACCACCATAAAGTGCTACTTGGACTTCCCACATACAGACTAATGAAGTTTCCATTAAGGATATCTTGGGTCCATCTGCTAATGCCAGTGCATTTAGGCCTGAGTAGAACTGGCTACTGTTCTCATTTGTTTATACATCACAATAGCTTTAGGATAAAATAATAAGTGTACCAGTGTTAGCTTATCACTGCATGCAATAAAACACGTGAGTAAAGCAAACAAATTAAAGTGCTGCGATGTGACAAAACCCACAACAGACTCTGATTCACAGAGATATCCAAAAATCCAGCACCGGTGTTGTAGCTTGACAGTAGGTTACTGCTGAAATTTTAAAAAATATCTATAATAAATCAGGAATAATCCGGCCTGTTGGTTCAGATCCATGCGATAATGGAGGAAAATTACCCTACAGAGGTGAGGTGGCAGCTATCGTTACTGCTTCTACACATGACCCAGCTAGCTTGATGGCTACGTGTGCCAATGACAAATCCTTAGAAACAGATTACCGACAAAACGGTGGCTACCAGGTCAGTCAAGTCGCCTTTCAAGATTACTTAATTTACATAATGTGAGCACAGTAAAACGTACGGGAGTTGGTGTGGCCACTGGTGACAGCAATACCTTGACGCGAGCAGTGATAATGCTAAGCGTTACGTTGTGACTGTTAACCTAACATCATCCACTAGCCAAGTAATTGTCAACTCGCGTAGGCTAAAAATGTGTAATGTTAGCTAAGCCAGCCATTGAACTGAGCGGGGAAAATATGTACAGAGTATATCTCAAGAGTCCAATAGTCCAAAAGAGAAAAGCCCAATTGCCGAGCCTGCTAACACGGCTGACAACAAGGCAGGAAATAAAAACAGCTAGGCTAAACGTCAACAGCAAAAGCAAACGTCAGTTATGCCCAGACTGCTAACTTGCTAACGTCAGCTAGCGAGCAACTTAGCCCAGCAGCTAACAGCATTTAGCGAGCGATTTTCTCAAACGAGGAAGAGTAACATCACGTCCAATATGACAGAATAAAACAAACGTACAGGGTTGCATGTGCTAGACGGCGCAGATGATGTCGATATCCCCGCTCACACGTTTAATACTCACATCCAGCGGTTAGCTTAATCTCAAGCAGAGCTGTGTGTGTAGCGTAGGCCCGAGCGGAGCGGCTGTCGGACGCAGACCGACCCGTCCGCCGTTGAGTTCGACCGAGAGGGGAAATCTCTGCTGCAGCCAGCTGAGCGCAGTCGGGCAGCAGACACCCGAGGTAGAACAAGCCGGTGGAGGCAGCTCGATATCCCGAAGCCGAGCTGCCACGGGAGGGATGCGAGGTGCGGACTAACTGTACCACAGTGTCTCGGCGCCGTTCCCGTATTGAATATTAGCCGAGGAAAAAAAGAAAACACTCTGAAAAACAGCGGCCATTCCGAAGCTGAACAAAAGAGTGCGTTCGTACTCGCCACCGCAAAATGACACTTTAGCCCTACACACGCCGTAACAAGAGGCCGGCGAGTGTATTTTCTCTTCATAGCCGCGTTAGTGTGCTGTTGGGGGTAAAACGTCTGCTGTTAATGTGATAAAATAACTGTTTTACCTTCAGAGGTGTGACTCCGCCATCCTTGCTGCTTCCTCCTCTTTTCCTACACTGCTGCTCTGCTCCCCTCCCTCCCCGGCCACCAAACTGCGTCATTCGCACGGCTAACCAATGTTATCACGAGACTTTGAAATGCAATCACATATTCATTATTTTACAAACATTTATATACATCTATTGTAAACGAGTGGCAAATGTGCTCTTTGTTTCAGTTTCTGACAATAAAAAATAAAATAGATTTGAGTTTATCGAAATTGCACGTTTAAAACGCCCTGAATTGACCAAAGTGCTGTGCATGTTATCAGTCAGCCAGCAACAAAAGTTATGTGTGCAAAAGGCAAGACAGGATAAAGACTTGTACAAATCAACCTGTAAAACAAGATTAAATCAGAATAGCAACTTGTAAAATCAGTTTCTAAAATAAATTCATCAAGAGCAACCAATAGCCATCAAACATTTGCACATCCTGATTTTTTTCTTTAAAATGGCAGTAGAGGAGGAATTCAACACTATTGCAAAAGCACAATTTATTTTACCAACCAGCCTCAAGTGTGAAACAGTTGTTTTGTGGATCTAAGGGATCTAGTGGTAGAAGATCTGAAATACACCCATGTGCCAACTTGCCCATGGCTTTAAAAACAAATAAATTAATTCTGTATTTAACAGGTTGCCAGATCAGGGATGCCAGCACAGGAGAGATGCTTTCCTTGTTTTGGTGCCAGTTAGGAATCTTAGAGCAGTATTCTGTAGCAGCTGCAGACGATACAGTGTGTTACAATAATCTAATAGCAAAAAAAATGTCAATTGCAGTGGTGGAAAAAACACCCAGATTGTTACTTTGCTCACTTTTAATTGGTCAGGCTATAAGTGAGAAATGCTAAATTTCAACTAAAAGTCCTGCATTCAAAATCTTACTGAAAGATCCTCTCCAGACACACATAAACCAAGTATTGTATATAAACTATGTATTCGACTTGTAATAATATTGTGTGTCTGCTATGGTGTCCCTCAAAAAGAGTTCAATAGCCTTGGTAAACACAAACATACAACTTATCCCCATAGGATGTTTCCCACCTATGTGTCTCAGTATATGTGCACCGCAGGCTTTCAGTTTCCACATCACATTTGATCGTTTGAATATTTGAGCAAACCAGTGTGCCAAATATACACACATCATTCATGTTCAGGAGAGTTTAAAAATGCCTCTTCACATGCCGAAGAGCCAGTTTGGGCTTGAAATGTTCCGCTAAATGTAATAAACCACAAGTGACTTCCAAACTATGGTGATTTCACAAAATTGTGCAAGTGTGCACATGTCTTCAACTCTGATTTAAGATGAGCATGGAAAAACTTTCCTCCTTCGACAAGATAATGGGAGAACAGCCCCTCAAGTGTTCGAGTGTTAAACCCTGCAAATATTCATACGTATGTACATATGCAAACACACAGTGAGGCTCAGGATTCTAAGTGGAGCTACAACCAGTAAGACTCAGTAAACTGTAGGCAATTGGAGTGGGGGGTGTTGGAGCTCATTATGCTCAACTGTCCTTTTCAAAGACTGAAATGGTTATGTATTACATTACTGACTGTAATCATCAAAGCATCAATATGTGAATAGAATTTTTTAAGTTTCAGTTGGTGAAGCTGGAGCTAACTTTAGGTAATCTACGGTGCCGTGAAATTTTATTATAATCAGTAAGTCATGTTTCACGAGAGGATTATGTGTTTTGTATGAAACATTTTTATAAAGTGAAATGTAGCTGTCAAATAAGTGTATTGAAGTAAAAAAGCACAATATATTCATCTGAAAATTGTTGGTAGAGAAGTGAAAAGTAGCATAAAAGGAAAACTCAAATAAAATACATGAACTTAAGTAAATGCACTTATTTTTCAGTATCAATTGACCGTAATAGAAATTACCAGTGGCGGTTATACATATTATATTCTCTATTTATTACTTAACTATGTGCAATTATTATGTTTTGTAATAGCGTGCCAAATCAAATCTCTCCAGGATTGTACAATAAAAGCAATTAGAAGTATGACACCATTTTTAATTACTTTAACAAAAATATAATTCTGATTGAGGACGTTAGAATATAGTCAAGTACATACATGTGGAAAAAAAATACCATCACTCCAGTTGAGAAGTTAAAGATCATTTTGTGACCTGCTGTTCCTACGGCGGCCTGTAGGTGTCAGTAGATCACTGTGACAATTAAACAAAGCGCCGAAGAAGATCACGTGACTCTGGCAGACCCGTTGGCTTGACAACTGCTGTAATCTTTACCTGCTGATAAAGGTGGGATTGACGAAAGAGTCGATTTTATATGTACGTACATAGACTTGATCAATTCTTTCACTAGTAATGAAAATATACTGTCGTAGTTTGTGTGAAGTAGTAACTATATTTGACAGGCGCTTCGCTGAAACAAATGATGCCGTTAATTTAGCTTGGCCTACATAGCGAGCCGATGCTATGTCGTTGATATGCTAAACCGAACTAGCTTCCTAGCTTGCTAACTAACTAACTACAGCTTTATACGATTACGTTTTTACTCCCAACTATTGTTTGTTCAGCAACTCAGCCTGTCACGTTGCTTCCGTTATGTTAATGGCAACATATTCGGACAGTTACTAACGACAAGACATCAGAACTGTGTTGTGCAAATTGTTGCCAAAATAACTCAATGAAATGTTATATATAACCTCGAACAACAGGTTAAAATGGGAAAAAACAACTAACATTCAAAATGCTGCATAAGCCAATCTTCACACATACACCACAAGTGAGCTGCTGCTAAATGATTATTTTTCTGTTTACTGACATGTTACTGATGTCACCGGACGGCAAACTAAACTTTGTTTTAATTGTGTTTCGCTGTTTCTCTAATACCAAACTCAGTATCATCACTGTCCATATGCTAAAGTTCAGACTAAGCTTGTGTCACGAATCTTAGCTAAGCAAAGTCACGAGTCAGAACACAAGTCATGCTAAACATCCACTGGCATGAATTATTAGCAGCACCTATCTAAATTATAGAATTTTTAATCCGCCAATACGCTGCCCTTAAACCTTAAACCTCTGTAGCTTGAACCTATGTTGAATTATGTTAGAAATTTGTCGAATGTAATAAACTGTTGTGCTTACCTTTCAGCAAGGGCTCAGAAGACACAATGCCAGAAGTCAAGTCAATATTCAGAGAAGTTCTGCCTAAACAAGGTTTGCACCACAGCAGTTTGCTATTTGGCCAGCAGTAGTTACAAAAGGTTGTTTGTGGAGCTCAGTACAACACGCAAACTGTTTAGACATTTGCAAAAGCTTGCACAATTAGTCAAGGGGTGCTCTGTGCACCCTCTTTACAGGGTCTTCTATAGCTCAAAGCCACTGGCATTGTTGCAGTATGAGTTATCTAATTTTGCTCAGTATCAAAGCTGGACAGTGTTTTTTCTATAGACTTCCATTCAAATGTAAATCAAAGATATCAGTGAACACATGAGAGACTGCAAATATAACTGATATAAAGTCTGTAGATGCAACATTTGGGAAGTAAATTTTGTTTAGCAGGCAAGCTCTACCATTTGCAATACTTGATATAAAAGTGTAATTGTAGAAAGAGCATTTGTCACTGCTAATGTGCTGGGAGATATTGTGAAAAATAGCAAGAACCCAGCCAAGTGTTTGATTATCTTTGCATTTAAGTGAAGAATAGTTGTGGAAATGTGAGAAATCATGTTTTGTTTTTTTTGGCATCATCCACAGGACAGCTTTCCATGGAAGATGTCCCTACCATGGTTCTGTGTAAGCCAAAGTTGCTCCCACTCAAATCAGTCACCCTAGAGAAACTGGAGAAGATGCAGATGGAGGCTCAAGAGGCCGTGAAACAGCAGGAGCTGGCAGCGAAGGAGCAGTTGCAGTAGATGCCCAGTCACAGAAACAGTCTTGGATTATTTAATAGTGATTTAATGAACAAAGAAGGACCTATACGTGGCGTATTTCACAAACCAGTATTCCCCGAATATAAAAATAAACACTCTTAACACCTTTTTTGTGAAGTTAACCGGCTGGTACTTGTTTTTGCATTGTACTCGTGTCATTATACCCTCAACAATGACATCTTTGTGTGATTTAAAGGGTAAAAAGAAAAAAAAAAGTCAAGCACAGCATAGAAACAGCAGCTAGTTAGGGAGCCAGTATTGCATTGAACCAACATGCTCCCTTTTATTTTTTATACACTTTTATAAAGCTCTTGACACAAACCAGTCATCTCTGTACAAACACTGCTTTCTAGAAAACACAAAAGGAGTGGCAGTGAAATCAAGAAAATACTGTACAAAACAACATGGAATGGCTGACACTGAGAGGTGTGGCACTTCAAGGGCTAGCTTATGTAAATGTTTATATTGAAACACCTTGGAGAAAGTGATCTACTTCAGTTTCAATCAAAAGTGCAGTTGTTTTTTTTTTGTTTTGTTTGACCCCACCTCAATTTCAGAAATGTACATTCTTTTGACTGTTCGAAGGGAGAAATCTGTACTCAACTATTTTGAAAAATATGCAAGTAAAAAAGTAGCTTTATCCTTTTCTTTTCAGGAAATCTGGCACATAAAAACGTCCTCCTCAGTAGCTTTCAAGTTTGACAACACCACCGTCTCCCTCGCTGACGAACCTCTTCCTGCCTCTGATGAGAGACAGATCAACAACAACATGATTAAAAAAACAGAAAAGTGCATCCCCTTCGATAAGCATGACGCATCTGTTTGAGAAAACCAGTGCACTTACCGACAGGGACAGAGATCTCTTATCTTTACATCAATGATTCCCATGCTGAAGCTCTTGTCAACAAATTGCTCCAGGATGAAGTACGCACGCGGGACATCAATATTAATTTCAGCAATGTCCATATAAACTCTTTCGTAGCCCTAAAGAAGAAATAAAAGGCATTTTAACACCATTTTATAACAATGAGTGGTGTGTGGTGAAATGACTTGCAATGCATAATTCCAACACCAGGTGGCACCTCACCCTTCTCATTTGGTCCACAGTAATGATGGAGGATACA